CCCCCAACAATTTTGTGCATGAAACAATGTTTGTATACATTGACAGAAATTGTCCTCATGAGTGAATGAGATAGCGACACAAAAGTTCAGTGTACTCAGAAAGCAAGAGTGTCACTATCTCAGCCACCATGTAGACAATTTCATATTTCAGAGTACAGTCAACCCTCCCCACTCACTGTGGGTGGTGTGCTGTATGTGTATGTATTAAATGTGTTTGTTATATGTGTTGATACAGCTGATGGGACAATCAATAAAATGTATGATGACACTGGGGTTAGGGGACAAGGGCCCCCATGAATGTGAATAACATCAAATTACCATTCTAGGAATGTCTATGTTCTTCTAGCAGGTCTTGGGTTTTTCTGGAAGGGTTTTTCTGGAAGCTAACTGTAGAATCGCATTGGAGGTCCTAGAGATTCCAACAGACGTGTTCTCTCTAAAAATCTCTGTGTCATCCAGCATAATTTAAGGAAAATGAATATATAGTCACATTGGAGGGTCTGGAGATTTTTAGAGAGAATATTTTAAATCAAATGTGTAACTAAAGCCAAAACCACAAATATAGAGGGATGCCTGTATATTGGATTTCAGAATTCCAGATAAGGGATGCTTGGTCTGTATAAGCTTGTGAATATTCTATTGGTTCTCCTGCTGCCCTGAATTTCTGAAAAGGATTTAGGCAAGAGAAGAGCGACAGCTCCATTCTCTAGCATTCTTTGGAATATTTTTAGCTCCACTGTTGAAAACTCAGTGTGTGGGAAGATAACGGCATGTGTCAGGTAACAGGTGGTCTGGCTGTGCTTCCTCTCCCTTCAGTAAACATCATGATAAAAGAATGGGGGCCTGCTGGGCGACCGCAGTCACTGTCTTGAGGAGATGGAAGTAAAAGGTCATCAGGCTGTGCAGCTTCCTAAATATTTCATTTCATATTTTGTTTTTAATATGTGCCACTTCTGAGGTTTTCTGTTTCTCTGGGGATAAAAATGGCCCAAATTTAATTAACTCGACAGAGGAGCTTGAAGGGAGGACCTTAAAGAGTTGCCTTGCATCCTGTACAAGGAGAAAGGCAGGATCTAAATTAAATGAGTAAATACATAAATAAAGGAGTGAAAATTTTGTTGCAGACCCAGTGTAACATGACAAAAATAAAATGGTTTCTAAATGTTGTGTCTCAGCACCCTTCCACGCAGCCCTATATCCCAGAATATCAAGGCAGAAAATCCCACAATATCTGCTTTGAACTGACACTCAGATAATGTGGGATTTTCTGCCTTGATATTCTGGGATATAGGGCTGTGTGGAAAGGCCCTCTGCTACTTCCTAGCATGACAAGTGATGACTAAAAGCTTCAATTTAGAATGGGGCAATGCCAGGATGAAGAATGTTAACCCCTGGCAGCCACAGGGCACATTTTGTGGCCTCCAAAGTCTTTGCTAGACTCCCCCCAACCCTCTTCACCCTCATTTTAAAAATCCTTGTAACTGCACAAAAGCCCCCCCATTGCATACCAGCACATCAAAAGCCCATCCACGCATATAAATCCCCACAGAACCGAAATACCTGTTTTTTCCCATCCCTGTCGCTTCCAAAAACGTGGTGTAATCATTTTGAGAAAGACTCCCTGCCACCATTTTGGGAAGAACATAGATCATTGGTTCTCAACCTTCCTAATGCCCCGTCGCCTTAATACAGTTCCTCATGTTGTGGTGACCCTTAACAATAAAATTATTTTCATTGCTACTTCGTAACTGTAATTTTGCTACCGTTAATATTTGATATGCAGGATGTATTTTCATTCACTGGACCAAATTTGGCACAAATACCCAATATGCCCAAATTGGAATACTGGTGGGGTTGGGGGGAGATCGATTTTGTCATTTGGGAGTTGTAATTGCTGGGTTTTATAGTGAACCTATAATAAAAGAGGATTCTGAACTCCACCAGTGATGAAATGGAACCAAACTTGGCACACAGAACTCCCATGACCAACAGAAAATACTGGAAGGGTTTGGTGGACATKGACTTTGAGTTTTGGAGTTGTAGTTCATCTACATCCAGAGAGCACTGTGGACTCAAACAATAGATCTGGGCCAAACCTGGGACAAATACTCAATATGCCCAAATGTGAATATTGGTGGTGTTTGGGAAAAATAGATCTTGACATTTGGGAGTTGTAGTTGCTGGGATTTATTGTTCACCTACAATCAAAGAGCATTCTGAACCCACCAACGATAGAATTTATGCACTTTGGAAGAGTTAAGACTTTCACAAAGTTGCAAATTATCCCAGGATTAATGTAGAACTAATGCAATTTTAAATTATTTTAACTGCCATGACTCCATGCTATGAAATCATGGGAGTTGTCATTTGGTGAGGTACCAGCACTCTTTGGTAGAGAAGGCTAAATACCTTTAAACTACAGTTTCCAGGATTCCACAGCATTGAGCAATAGCAGGCAACCCATGGTTTAGTGTTAAAATATGCAAACTGGCTCATATTGTGACCCTAACCTCAATATTTGCCATATACAGATTGTTCCTCCACGCAGCCATATTTACAAGTTCATAGTGGCAGCCATTTTCTACTTGTAACACCAACCCATAGTCATTTCCATATAATGTGTTTGGGTCACGAAGAAGTTACCTTGTTTTGCTTGTATTTTGTTAGAGAGCAACTTTTCATCTTATTGTTGAAACAAATGTAAAAACAACTCACAATTGCATTGAAAAAAAGAATTTTCCAACATTGTGGTTCATTTTTCTCAGGCTAATTTGTGGCCAGATGCACTGTGAGTGAGGACATAGATAGTTTTGCATTTCTGGTCCAACTGGATACTCCATAGTTCCTCTAATTGCTTATATGGTGCACATTATTTCACACTTAATTTTTCTCTCTCTTTCCTATAGGCCGTGTGTTTATACAGTGGGGTCTCCAATAAACAACAGGGCCCTTTTTCCATGCCAAGAACCGCCTGTTGCCATGTCAACGTGGCAAGCTACCGTCCGAGCAGATGCACGCTTTGTTGTTTTAATGAGTGGCGAAAACTCAGCGGAAATAACAGAATCCGAAGAAGGTACTGCCTATATTTGCCATCTTCCTATATGGAACCAGATGGAAAGATATTATTTAATATTGGAATAATGCTCCACTCACATAGATAATTGAGTCTTCCAAGCTTTTTAGCACAGTTCAACTTTCACTGCCTAGCACTGCCTATTTTGATCTTCTTCCTTTCACATGTGCCCTTTTTCATTTGGGAATGCTAAAAAGGGGAAGTACACTGCAACTTATACATGGCACAGTGGGTTAAACCCTTGAGCTGGCAGGACTGCTCACCGAGAGCTCAGCAGTTTGATTCTGGGGAGAGCGTGGATGAGCTCTCTCTGTCAGATCCAGCTTCCCATGCAGGGACATGAGAGAAGCCTCCCACAATGATGGTAAAACATCAAAACATCTGAGCATCCCCTGGGCAACATCCTTGCAGATGGCAAATTCTCTCAGACTAGAAGCGACTTGCAGTTTTTCAAGTTGCTCCTGACACACACACACACAAACCCAAAACCAATATAGTTAATTATACTGCAGACACATTAGCAATATAATATTTTGATTCTCTTTGCCATGTCATTTGGGGATGATTTGTGTGTGCCTTTTTGTTCTGCTGGATTATAGCTCTAATTTCTTGTGAATTGAATTTACTTAGCTATAAAGTGATAAAGACAGCAGAAAAGATGAGCATGCAAACTGATCTGAGATCATGAAAGAAAATCAGTTTGGAATAGAAAGAATATACAAAGTCTCACGAGTATCTCAAAACCCTAATGAGGAGACTCATCCTCTCACCCCTTTGTCTTGGTATATCCTAGTCCTCAAGTGCCACTTCCAACAGTTCCACCCAAACTGCCTCCCTAGTGTATCTGAGGGCAGCCCAGAGAAAAGGGCTCACATCTCACGATATTATCTCCTTTTCATCATATCATAGATATCAGAACGCACTCGGCTTCCTTGCCAACCTTGGGAAGGAGGGGCTGATTTGATCATGGAAGGCTAAAGCCTCCCCATATCTCATCTAGCTCCCACTCCTCTCAGATTACATGGGGAAGCAAAAGCTGCAGCCACCCTGTTCTTCTATTTCTATTGTCATTGGTAGTGGTGGGGAGATGAGAGTGAATTGTGGAAAACTATATAGCCTTCCCAATCCTTACTCAGCAACCTCCATTCTACTGCTGAAGACTTCTCATTAGATAACTCTATCTCACAAAATTTTGTTCCTGGGTTATAAGTGTCATTTCCTAATTGGTTCTATCATAAAAACATGGAAAAAGGTTTATCCTGCAGAACATTTTGTTATAGTTTCTCAATGAATGTCTCATATAGTCTTAACCAATTCAACATAGTTTGTGGTGAGTACGAAAACAAAGTTTCTGGAGTGTAAGAACTACTTTCAAAGTAAGTAATGTACAATTAAACAGGAAATAACACTTTCAAACCAGGAACAGAATTTCTTTCAAACTTTGTTACATAGTGTAGTTTAACAAAGCAGATCCCATATATCAGTCATATAGAACTGTATATATACACAAATGTGTCTGAGGTGGGTAAAGTGTGGCCCTCTGGATGTTGGCAGAATTTGGCAGGGATGATTAGAATTGCCCATCTTCCCCATATATAACACAGCCCAATTAAAAATATATATTGTTGTCTTGATTTTTAGGCCTGTTCCTAGAGTTATTTGGGGCACTGATTCAGGAAATTGTATTGGATAGACCACATCAGCTCTAGTTTTTTAGGCTGAATCTATACCGCCCTATATCCCAGGATCTGATCTCAGGTATCTTTTTATCCCAGATTATCTGGCAGTGTAGACACATATAATCTGGTTCAAAGCAGATAATCTGGGATCAGGTCCTGGGATATAAGGAAGTGTAGAGGGGGCTCAGATAGAGCTATAATGGTTTTCTATGGGCAAGTAGATGGTGACTGCTAGATGGTATATGTTCTGTGTCTCAAAAAGAAGAGCAGATAGGGGAAAACTGGTGCCGTTTTTTGAATTCAGCCGGCCAAATATACCCAGAAACAGGTCTCTCATTTGAGTATCTGTTGGCATATGACACATAATATAGAAAAAAAAATTATGTTTCCGTCCTTGAGTAGAATTTGTAATATAAATTAAATATAATTTTATATAAATATTATATCAAAGTGATATAAATTTCATATTTTAAAAGTGCTGATAATTTCCTTTCAAATGCAAAAAAAAGTGATAAGGTTAAAAGTAAATCACTACTTCCATGGCTTAAAAAAAAGATCATGGCTGAATAATGCATCCTTATACCAGCATTTTGTTTGCATAACTTCAGATGGATCGCAGTTGTGATCCATCTGAAGTTATGCAAACAAAATGCTGTAACTCTTTGCTATTCAAAACTTATGATGTGTTCTCATTAATAATTTGGTCAAAATATGATTTTAAAATACGTAACTTTTCCTCTCATTACAATTCTGATGCCATGTGATTTTAAAAAAACCCTGAATAGTGCTTTGTAATTTAGGAAGTTTAATCATGGGAGGGGGGCAGAGTGTGTTCAACATGCTGTTGATTAGTGTGTCACAAGTGACATCAATGTTCCATAATTTTAGCAGTGATTATACTCTGATTTAGTAATCCAAAACTGTTTTCTGGTACCACGGAGAACAGAAAAGCATTTGTTTAGCTTAGTTTACAGAGTCCCTTTTCCCTTTGGCAGCTGTAAGCCAATTTAAAGGTTCCCTTTTGAGCGTACAAGCAATGTAGTTGATTTTGTGCAAATGTTATGATTTGTAGAATTGTGAACAGAATCAGCTCCTTTTTCTGTGTATGGTATAAATGTCTTTAACCAATGGGAATGCTATTGAGGCTAGAGAGATGAGCAAAAAGTGGCCCTCCAGATATTGTTGATCTGCAATTCTCAACAACATCTGGAAGTCCATATTCTGTCCACCTTCACCTTAGGAACAGAGCTGCTTTTGCTCCATTGGGCAGAACAAAATTTTTGTTGTTTTATTTTCTGTGTTATAAACTGCAATCCAATGAAGCCGGCCTTTTCAGATGCCAGCTGATTATGTATTGGCTCAGGAGCATGGCTGGTGCACAAAGCATTGTAAAGGGTTTTACAATGTTTCCTGCTGCCTTGGAGACTAGGACTAGGAACAATGGCTTCAAACTACAGGAAAGGAGATTCCACCTAAACATTAGGAAGAACTTCCTACCTGTGAGAGCTATTCACATTCTCTGCCCCAGAATGTGGTGGAGGCTCCTTCTTGGGAGGCTTTTAAACAGAGGCTGGATGGCCATCCATCAGTTAGGGCTTTGAATGCGATTTTCCTGCTTCTTGACAGGGGGTTGGACTGAATGGCCCACGAGGTCTCTTCCAACTCTGTAATTCTATGATATGGGTTATCTCGCAATCTCTTCATATGTTTGTAAATAAATAAATGCCTAAATTAGTTATTGACTACAATCTAACTCTCGGAATCAGTGTATTTGGGATATTTTTTGTATGTGATATAATATTTGATCAATGAAATTATTGCAATAAGAAGGCTAGCAGGAGCATTGGTCTATGAGTCTGGTGGCCAAGGTTCGAATCCCCATTTAGCCATGGAAACCCACTGGGGACCCTTCTACACAGCCCTATATCCCAGAATATGCAGGAAATTCCACATTATCTGAGCGTGGACTCAGATAACTCAGTTCAAAATAGATATTGTGGGATTTTTTGCCTTGATATTCTGTGATATAGAGCTGTGGGGAAGGGCCCTGAGTGACGCAAATGCAAAAAAGCCGAAATAATCTTGACAAGAAAATCATATGATAGGCTTGCTTCAGGGCTATCATAAGTCAGAAACAACTTGAAGGCACATAACAACAGCAAAAACAACAACAGAGTATTGTTCCATATTACATATTTTGCATAGCTTGTGAACTGACTATGATCATCCATGAGTTGTCTACATGAACACTTTGATGTAAAACTGGCTGTGAGGACTGACTCTTGTACAAACTGTTTGCTGAACACAATGTTGAGTGATTTAAGTGTCTAGCTTTTGCAGTGAACACAAATTACCATCCAAAATCTTGTCAAACTTTCTACAAAGGAGTTGGACCATTTCTTTGCCACGTGGAAATGTGCACTGTATCCATGAATATTTTATTTCCACCCTAGGTGGTGCTGCATCCCAGGGAGCCACACAAGGGCAGACTTGCAGCCAGACAATAGATAGCAACAAAAATGTAAAAGGGAAAGATGCAGCTTTAAAGCTTTTGGCAGAAAGGCACAGAGCAAGGAATCGTAGTTAAGTTGGTTTCTTACAAGTTTCTGAAACAAACAAGAGACAGAAAAACAGTCAACACTTGTTAAACATAATGATTAATGGAATTAAAAAAATAAAGTAGGGAGAAAATGTACAGTACTGCATAGGAATGTGCAAACAGCTTGAGTTATTTTTTAAAACAATGGTTGGGATGACAGCTTCTGAATGGGAAAACCATGACTCAATAAAAGGATATCTATCATTATCCAGATTTAGAACAGAAACTGTGAGAAGGTGAATGAATATTGGTGTATTGGTGGTGTGCAATTGATTTTCAAAGAATTTTGTCTCCCAGTAATTTAACAAAATGAAGTACAATTTGGTAATATTATCAAAAGCCAACTAGACCGAAAGGTAAGGGTTTGCCCTATCTAATCCCTAGTGCTGGTAATCTATGAAAACAATCAAAGATAACAGAAACCAGATCAAAATGTATCTAGAAAATCAGTTTCATCCAGGAACGATTGGAGCTGGAAATACCAGAATTTGTTCCAAAATAAGGCATTGGAGACTAGTTGATGATTATCTATTGTTGGATTCACAGAAGTTTTTTTAAAATCCTATGTTCATCCTGTTTGGGGCAGAGTAGAACTCTGTCTTATTTATTTATTTATTTATTTATTTATTTAAAGCATTTATATTCTGCCCATCTCACCCCAAAGGGGACTCATGACGGAGGACAACACATATACAGCAAACATTCAATGCCGGGACATAAAACTATGTTTTCACCAGACCCTGAATTCATTAACTGTTGTACACATATGTGTTAATAAGGACTTTGACTTCAAGAAGGAAAGTGTATCAGCATGCACAGATCATCAGTTTTCTTTTGATTGCATTTTCCCTTGCATCTTGAACATAAAGAGCTTACATAAAATATATCTGGATAAGAATAAGGGCAGCATGAACTGATATGTCTGAATTAACCACACAAAAAGAAACAATTTAAGGGATCCTTTTTAGAATATCTGGTATCAAATTGGGCATATTGGATTATTTCTATAGAAACAGATGTTCTTAAACGGGAGATATGTTTCATAATAGAGATAAGAAACTATCTTGAGACTCTCAAATAGTGGTGAACTCCAGCCATGCAAAAGTAGAAGTCAAGTTCTAGCAACACATTTCTCACTCTCCACTTTTCTTCCTCTAGAAAAAAAAGCTTTAAAAGGTTTCTTGGAGGTGCAAAAACATTCAAAAATTAAATGGATGGATGTTACACAAGTTTCTAATTAGTGTTGGGAAGTTTTCAAAATAAGTGATAGTCAGAATTGATGACAACATTGGATTTGTGCCAGTATTTTTATGATGTGAGAGGCTTCTTTTTTCATTGTAGGTTGTAGAATATGTTAAACTTACAGGGTTTATAGATTGGACTACTGTAATGCGCTCTACGTGGGGCTGCCCTTGAAAACGGCTCAGAAATTCCAACTGGTCCAATGGGCAGCGGCCAGGATGTTAACTGGTGCTCCTTACAGAGAGAGGTCAACCCTCCTGTTTAAGGAGCTCCACTGGCTGCCGTTTATTTTCCGAGCCCAATTTAAGGTGCAGGTGCTTACCTACAAAGCCCTAAACGGTTTGGGACCCTACCTGCGTGACCGCATCTCCGTTTATGAACCCACGCGCTCACTTCACTCATCCGGAGAGGCCCTGCTCGCGATTCCGCCTGCGTCGCAGGCGTGTTTGGTGGGGACGCGAGACAGGGCCTTTTCTGTGGTGGCCCCCGACTCTGGAATACCCTCCCCAAAGATCTTAGACAGGCCCCTACGTTGGCAGTCTTTAGAAAGAACTTGAAGACTTGGCTGTTCCGATGTGCCTTCCCAGAATAGGAAAACTCCAACAAGAAGTCCCAGAAGCACTTTATTAGAAATTAAGATTGCTGGCACACTGCACTTACCCTATAATCCTTACATATTACCTGTCACATCAGCACTTTTAATTCTGTACCCATTACTCTGGCCCGGCCCAGTTTTATTGTGTCTTGGTGTATTGTTTATTGCTTGTTGTTTAATATTGCTTTAACTGTTTTTAATTTACTTTAGGTTTTTGTATCGTTATGTTGTGTTTTGAGGCCTTGGCCTTTGTAAGCCTCATCGAGTCCTTCGGGAGATGCTAGCGGGGTACAAATAAAGTTAATAATAATAATAATAATAATAATAATAATAATAATAATAGGGTACATTGTGATAGTTTCAAAACAGAAGGTGAAATGCATTGTAGCATGAGCAAAACTCCACTCGCGTGTTGAGATTTTCCTTTCCTCTCCCATGCTGCACTCCTCTTCCCCAGAACTGCACTTTGTGGATGATAAAGGTGGAATTAGTACCTCTCCTTTCCATTGATTAAAACAGTTCTGTGAACTTGAGGGCTTAATTGGATGCCACCCATTATAGCTGCATTAAAAAAACAAACAGAAATCTAACTCTCAGACTTCCTGGGTTACTGAATCAAGTAACTGCTTTTTCGATTTAGCATTCCAAGTGCCAGTGCAGTGGGTAATCCCTTTTCTTTTTCTTTGTAGGTGTATTAAACTGGTTTTATTATGTGACCATGCCAATGCCAGCATCAACCTTCACTATTGCTGTTGGATGTTGGGCAGAAGTTAAAAGAAAAACTTATGCAACTGGCGTTCAGAGGAATGATGGGATCTTTCCACTGTTCTCAAAGGCGGATGTCAGGTTGGTGATTACAGTTGAGAAGTATGTACTTTAGAGAGCATTCCATTTTTTTCTGTTATACAAGAAAATGAGTCATCAGAGTCAAGGAACAATAGCAGAACATGTTTAATCAAAACAAAGGGGAATCATATAAAAGAGATCAGTCCAATGGGTGAGGATGGGCAAGGGTGTGTTGCTTATGCAGAAAGTGTTCTTGGAGTAATGCAGTTAGTTTCTACATAATTTTGCTTTAGCTAAACTATGTGAAAAGTGAATTCTTTATGCAAGGCACATCTGTCCTTCTTTCCACTCAGATATAATCTTATTTGTTTTTAAGTCACTCAAACAGTTTTGTTGGAAACCCTACACTTAATGATTGCATGATTATAGATGTTCTATTAGCATTATTAAGAACATAATGGGACTGATTAAGAGAGTTCTTCAGGTTACCACTTTTGTATTAATTTTAGCTTAAGCTAAAGCACTGGGAAAGCAACACATTACCAAATACAAAGAAATACACGCTTTTACATTTCAGATTGTTCATAATGTTACAGTTTACAAACTATTCACTTTTAAAGGGTTTGTTTGATTGGCATATTAATTGAAGTGGGTGTCTCATACTTCTGTATCATAAGACTGGCTAGACAGCTATTTCTGTTTCCTCCTTGTGATGTTTATATCTCTTTCATATCTCCTTAGCAGTGCATCTTCCATAACTCCAGCTCTGTTTTGTTTTCAATTATCTTCATATAGAAGTGCTGATATGTTCTCCCAGCCATATTTCCATCTGCTTAGCTTTTTCCAATTCTGCTATGTTTGAAGTATCCTGTTTCTAATAGTTCCTGTTTGTTCACATATTTATAGCAATAGCATTCCACAGCAAAACATTTTGCAGTTGTGAAGCATTTGTGTTGCGTGTTTTTTTTTTAGTCCGAAACAGATAATCAATTTCATGGCAAGATTCATTCAAAGGAATTCAAAATACATTACTCTTAATTTGTCCTGACTGTGTGCTATTTAAGATTAAAAACACCAGAAGGAACATCTCCACACATTACAAATTCATTGTCAAATATATTCTACAGATGAAAAACAGATAGTGCCTGCTGCTGACACTTTTAACCATGGTTATGGAACCAGGACTGACCTGCCCACTTCTTCTCCCTTCTCGGGTTAACTATGGTTTTGCTTTAATGTTATAGCTGTATCAAATCAATGAGATTTCTTATCTTAAAAATGATCTGAACTGGATTTATAAATCCTAATTAAGAGAGATCCTAACTGGAAAACATATTTTTGAAACTAAGTGCTAGAGTATTCCAGGGGTTTCTCTAAACTGTGGTTGTGCTATATCTCATGGTTAAAATTTATTTATTTATTTATTTATTTATTTATTTATTTCGAGTACTTCTACCCTGCCCTTCTCAACCCCCAAGGGGGGACTCAGGGCAGCTTACAAAAAGGCACAATTCGATGCCTACACAAAATACACATACGTACAAAACAGCAGTTAAAACAATTATCACAGTTAAAACAGTCGGTATATAACACAATCAATAAAACTAATCTCATGCTCAGCATTCGTCTTTCAGAGTTCCATAATTCCATTCCACTTATTGATAAATACAGAAAAGGGGAAAGTGTAGTATTATTGTTGCCAGGTTGTCTCCTTGATCAACCTTGAACTTTTGTTGTAATACTGATTTCCTCTTCTTGCAGTTTTTGTGTTTCTGGAAGAGTGAAAACAGCCAATATACACTGTTTGACTGCTCTGGGTGTCGGGTTTTGTGCCACATGACACAAAAGTATCAGGACTAGGTGGGAAAATACCATATTTATTTGAGTATAATGCTCACCTTTTGGGGCTAAATTGCTTTGTCAATATTGAGGTTAACATTAGATTAAATGGTGTGTTAGAATAGCACGCATAAACCCACCTGCGTGAAAAGACTTGGAAGAACCTTGGAGGCAGGGGTCTAAGAAGCTGTTCCTGGTGGTTGCGATGATCTCAGGGCTCTATGGTGCCAGGAGAAGGAGGAGGGGCACCACGTAGTCATGGATCCTGCCTTTAGAGTGGCCCTTAGGACCTCTGCCTCCCCTCCCCCCAAGCTCAGTCCCATACGGTTCCCAAATGGCCTTTATTCATGCTGCTTGCTTCCCTGACGTGCTATTCCTGTACTGTTAAACACATTATATTTGAGGGCACATCCTTTTTTTTTTTTGTAATATACACGTTCAAAATTGAGGACTGCATTACATTAGATGTCACATTACACAATAAATGCGGGTGCTGTCTCAGCAGAAATATATCGTTCAATTAGATGTTGAATGCTAATAAAATTCTAGTAGCTAGAGTGAGATGTCTGCAGACATTTGTATCTCCATGGAGTTTTCTACCCTTATTAAAAGAACTATATTTTATTTATATTCCAAATGCTGGAGTATTGCAATCAAACCAAAATAACTTGGCCAATCATAATGATGCTATCTTAGTGCATTAAAAATGCTGGTTAAAAACATCAAAATCTATTAATTGCTTTTCACCCTCAGGTTGTTAGAAGGGGCTTGTGGTCATGTACCTTACCCCTGTCGTTTCCAAGAACCTGCGGCCACTTCTCAAGTGGTTATTCCTCATCGTATCTTTGCTCCACCGTGCCTTCAGAAATCCTGTGAAGAGATTCTACTCCCATTGATTCCTCAGTGTCTTTCCGCATCTTATGCTCTACTGGGCACTCATCCATTTTCTCGCCTTGATGTCTTGATTGTCCCATCCAACTTTTCCAGTCTTGGAATGGCCAGGTAAGGATACTTTTCCAGTTTTTTGAGCATGCTTGTCCTCTCTGAATCATTTTTAGTGGAAATGTATAATTTTGTTTTGGTATCTTTTGTTGCAACATTGTTCTGGGGCATCAGTGGTCTGTGCAGAAAAGCATTATCATATCTTTTGTTCTTGGAGAGACACAGTTATATTTGGAACTTGGAAACTTAAACCGTTTTCACGGTGTTCTTGAAAATCATGACTGTGTTAAGATAGAGATAGATGTTTCTTTCAGTGATTAAACATCAAACAAGCTGCCGTGGGAGTAACAATGATTTGTAGTATCTCTTCCACCACAATGTGCCCTCAATGGCAGAGCAAAGATACTGATAAGCGATGTCACTGGTGTTAGTCATGTGGTGTGTGGTGTATGATTTATGGAACACATATAATACACAAGATCACGAATGAAAGCCTGAAAATATAAGGGGTGAAATCTAGTGGTGATAATCCTGTCAAGTGAAAGAGATCAAATTCTGATTCCGAGCACTCTGGAGGAATCTATCTCTATTTAATGGATGGTAAGAACGATTCACATAGTCCAGCAGCTAAGTTTCTTGGGTGCTGCATGCACAAAGGGGCTATTCATGGAATGCTGCAAAAGGAGAACAAAATAGACATTCCCGGAGGAGATATAATAGGACAGAGAGGATATTTATGTATATGGGTCTCCATACTTATTACGACAATTCAGAGGCTTTAATACTAGTCTGGATAGTGATGGTCTTGGGTTATGTGAAAGGTTAAATCCTGAAAAAAACACCCTTGAGAGTCCCTGCATATTTTAGAAAAAATATTATTAGCAATGTGTGGTGAAAAAAATATACCTTTCCAGTTGAGTATTGCCCAGATAAAGGTCAAGATATAGTAACCATTAGGGCTTAGGTCTAAAATAACAATTAAACTTGAAGACTAATGATATCAATAAGTTTATTCCTGTTGCAGAAAACAATAAGACTATGTAACCACCGGTAGTCCATGAAATGGGGAAAACTGTTTGTACGTGGTGTTTATTCAGGAGTAGAGATTGGTTATTCAAAGAAAATAATTCTTATTTCCAGTGTGAGTGAGTAATATATCAGAAATGAATACATGAGTGAAACTAAATGATTACAGCTGGTATAAAACATTAAATTCAAGAAAAAAAATGATGCATCTGAATGCTTCTTGTTATATAAGTACATTTGGGGTGGATATGTACTTGAATGACTCCAACTATCTCAGCCTGAGGGTCAAACTACATGGTGCATTTCAGATGTTATTGAGACTACAACCTAATCAGCCTCAGACAGCATAGCCAATGGTTAGGAACTGTGGAAGCTGCTGTCTAAAAACATCTAGAGAACTGCACTTAGTATACCCCTACATTAAACTTTTTTTTTTCGTGTCAGGAGTGACTTGAGAAACTGCAAGTCGCTCTGGTGTGAGAGAATTGGCCATCTGCAAGGACGCTGCCCAGGGGATGCCTGGATGTTTTACCATCTTGTGGGAGACTTATCTCATGTCCCCGCATGTGAAGCTGGAGCTGACAGATGGGAGCTCACCCTACTCCCTGAATTCGAACTGTCGACCTTTCAGTCAGCAGTCCTGCTGGCATAAGGGTTTAACCCATTGCTCCACTGGGGGCTCCTTTGCACTAAACTAGGTGTGGTCTTTATCTGGATCACAACCAATGTGTGCAGAGATCTAAATATTTCTCTGTAAATTTTTTAGAATTTAATTTCTACCTCAACCATCAGTGCCAGTGGAAGTTCCCCATTAAAAAAAAACAGCATATGGAGGGAGAATGGTAAAAAAATATGGCTAGAAGGCTACTTGGTCGTTTTAGAGTAAAACAAAACTTGGATCTTAAAATGTCAGCTGCATGTTTAACATAGCATGTAGTTTGACTCTATTACAAGGAGAAAGGTGAAAGAAAATAAGCATTTTGTAACATTGCTTTCCCTGTCTTATTAGTGTGCAGATATGAGGCTGATTAATAAATAATGATACGCCAAAATTCTGGTTTATTTGGAATGAGTCTGCTGCATACCATTCAGTCATTCTTGCTTGCTAAACAAAGCAGGAAAGCACCACTTGCAGTTTGTTTAGCATCAGGTTTGTTGCTATTATCCTAAACCATAATTTTAGTCCCGATTTGTTATTGACTTCGGATTCTTGTTTATTGTGAAAGAAAATGCTCAGATGGAACATTTGTTTAGCATCTCCCACTGACAAGAGCAGCCAAGAGGGAATGAAAGGGTACCATGCATTAGCACTGTTATTTATTCCCAATAAGCCAGAATTCTGAAGAATTCTGCTTTATTTTTACCTGCAAACTGGGTCATAGTCAGGTTCTTAGCACCGCTCACTTGTTTTTGTTTCGTGACTAAGTATAAAGGAAAGATAAACTAAAAGACACAGGTGTCCTTTTGCTTGATTTTTGTAGTGTCAGTCTTTATTGTAACTATGCAATTGCTTTAAACATACCCCAGTTTTCCAGAGCTGTTTTAGTACTTTATGTATCATTTGGTGCATAAAGGAGTGCAGAGGTATATATGCTCTGAATCATGCTGCCTATTTGCTGTAGTATAAACATAGCGCAGCATGTGCACACAAAAGGTCTGCTGTTCTGAGAATTTTCATTGTACTCCTGTCTGCCAGTGAAGGAAACAGCCATAAATTTCCAGTCATTATCTTTAGATTGTGTGTGTGTGTGTGAAACACGCACCCATGTACATTGGCAAGTCTGTTCCTCATTAGCCTTGTAGCTACTTTATTTTTTAATGTGCCAGAGTACCGTCTCTTATTTGAAGGAGAATGGTTATCCCACATTTCGGAGGTAGGAAGAAATGATGGCACTTCTTTTGCAGAACAGCTTAATTAGAGGCTTGAGGTTGTATTTTCCAGCCACCGCCACTGCAGATTCAGCAACATTTTCTTTCAAGACCTGCCGACGCCTTTTCAAGCGGGGAGAGTCTTCCTTTGAAATCTTACTTATGTGCCTTCTGTGTATCATCACCTTATGTTTTTAATTTGCCATGGACTTTTATATGGAAAGAAAATCCTGATTACTTATTTTTTAAAAAACAATTGGAGGCACCACTCCTTCTTCTAGATCTTCAAGGGAATCTTGGGTGGGTGTGGGCTCATCTTAGATTATGCTCTGAGCACATCATCTAATACAGCATTTCTCAAACTGGGATTCGGGACCCCGGGGGGGGGGGTCACAAGGGGATTTCAGAGGGGTTACACAGTATTTCCTATTGGTCATGGGGGTTCAGTTTGGGAAGTTTGGCCCAATTCTTTCGTTGGTGGGTTCAAAATGCTCTTTGATTGTAGGTGAACTATAAATCCCAGCAACTACAACTCCCAAATATCAAGTCTATTTTCACCAAACTCCACCAGTGTTCACATTTGGGCATATTGAGTATTCATGTCAAGTTTGATCCAGATCCACCATTGTTTGAGTGCACAGTGCTCTCTGGATGTAGGTGAACTACAACTCCCAAATTCAAGGTCAATGCCCACCGAACCCTTCCAGTATTTTCTGTTGGTCATGGGAGTTCTGTATGCCAAGTTTGGTTCAATTCCATCATTGGTGGAGTTCAAATGCTCTTTGATTGTAGGTGAACTATAAATCCCAAGTACAACTCCCAAATGTCAAGGTCTATTTTCCCCAAACTCCACCACTGTTCACATTTGGCCATACTGAATATTCATGCCAAGTTTGGTCCAGATCTATCATTGTTTGAGTCCACAGTGCTCTCTGGATGTAGGTGAACTACAACTCCAAAACTCAAGGTCATGTCCACCAAACTCTTCCAGTATTTTCTGTTGGTCATGAGAGTTCTGTGTGCCAAGTTTGGTTCAATTCCAGCTTTGGTGGAATTCACAATGCTCTTTGATTGTAGGTTAACTATAAATCCCAGCAACTACAACTCGCAAATGGCAAAATCAATCCCCCTCAACCCCACCAGTATTCACATTTGGGCGTATTGTGCATTTGTGCCAAATTTGGTCCAGTGAATGAAAATACATCCTGCATATCAGATATTTACATTACGATTCATAAGAGTAACAAAATTACAGTTATGAAGTAGCAACAAAAATTATTTTATGGTTGGGGGTCACCACAACATCAGGAACTGTATTGAGGGGTCACAGCATTAGGAAGGTTGAGAACCACAGATCTAATGGTTCTTTTCCAATGTAGAGGAAGGTAAACCAAGATTCTGCAGTTGCACTTTCCATTACCAGTCCCTTTTTTCTGGTTCTGTATTATACTTCTTATTAGAAGCATATAGGCCTCCCATGCATATGTAGCCTAAGGGGATTTATCTTTGCATGGGCCTGTTTTTTCATTACATACTGCAACCAATTTAAAATGGGCAATTAGACAATCTTAAGGTTTCCGCAGTTGTATTGGGCATTGATGAAGTTTCTTCTTTTAGACTTATGTAATTAATTTTCCTTGTAAGGAAACTGCTTGTGGAAAGGATATAGGGTTAAAACACCCTACAGTATACTTTTATATACATGAAGTGAAACAAAGGCCACACTGACTTTAAGTTGAATAATAATAATAATAATAATAATTTCCTGTATTTCTATCATGTCACTTCTCAACCCCTGAAGGGGGGGACTCAGGATGGCTTACAATGGGCCCCGTTACGAGGCCACTACATAACAATTACAATAATAAAACCACAATTGAACATAAATATTAAACTATAAACATAAACATTAAACAATACATAAGTGATCATTAAAAATGGTAAAGGTTGGTCTCTCTGTTAAGTCATAGATTTTTGCCCCAGAGAGGCAGCCCACCTCTGAAGACATCATGTCAGGACTGCAAACCACTGCTTCAGTTCCCTCCAGCTGGGAGTTCCCTACCATCATGGTACATATCCTTGAAAGATTATCAGGGGTCATCCTATGTGCTAAATCTTCTAAATGTAGCGTCCTGGCAGCATGCTAGGAGGCCTCCCATGTTCCA